ATACCCCCCGCACCGCTTGCTCGTACAAATTTCCGGTTTTGTTCCCCACTCCCTGCAATGATCCTTCTGGCCTTAAAACGTCTCAGCTGGGGTGGCCCTGTTCGTCTGTTGCTTTAAAACCAACGAGTGGTTCTGTGGCACTTTAGAGATTAACTAGGCTTTGGTGGGGAAAAGCCACTTCTTCAGATGAGCTGGAGTGGAAATAATGGCAACTAAGGTGTATGTATAACAGCAGAAGTGCCTGCCGATGTAGGACCCGTGTTAATGAGGGATTAACTGGCTTTGCCACTAATCCATGGCCATCGGGTGACAAGGCGAAGGGGCCGCCCTCCCTGTATTGTGTGACCCCGAGAGAAGACTGTTCCCCAGTCATGCTGTTTGGTGTTTAATGGCTGTTGTTATACAATGGCTGTCACACCATGCTTTCCCTGTGTAGTGTGTTTCTGAGGGTTGGAGCTAGCAGCGTGGGGAGCCCTTCATACTGTGCATCATGGAGCTGGCACTCTGGTTTGCACCCCACACCTCCACTGGGTTTTCTGGAGTCCCTCTCGAATTCATTGTCCTCCTCAGGGCAAATCCTCAACAGAATAGCCACCTTGCAGTGTAAGGGCCACCCAGCTCGAGCTCCAGCTTGGTCCTTACGGCATCTAGCTGGATATTCCGTGAAACCCATCCAAGGAGATCCTAACGTGCCATTGGAGCTTTTGGTGACCATGTGATCGCCAGCTATGTAGCGGCATTCCATAGCCAACATGCTTTGTGATTTGCTGTTCTCCCATTCATGTACTATGTCTGAAGCGGCCAAAAACAAACCGGTGCTGACAGAAGTGATTACTGGGGTCCATTACCCCTCCCTTCCTTGCTGATTTTTGTCCTGCCTCTCTTGAATTGCTGGTATACTTGAGAGTAAATCAGGCCCTCAGAGACAATCCCCTGGGAAGTTGGCATACCCCCCTTTGAAGTTATTGAAAGGGTTCACAAGCACTAGAGGACTGATTGGGGGTTTTCTCAGACGCTCTCAGCTTGTGGAGTGCTGATGACTGTGGAACATTCAACCCCAGATATTTCAATGGGAGCTGACGGCTGCTAGCACTGTGGAAAACCTCTGCATTACTGAAGTGCCTAAGTAGGGAGTGGATCCTGGAAAATCTGTCCTGGAGCGCTCTTCAAAATCTGGCTCACACTGAGATGCACGCACAAGCCACACTCTTCCTCAGTGCATAATTGTGTAGGATGGTGCCCCTAGCGCCTGTTTGTCAGAGGCTTGGAATGGGTGACAGGGGAGGGACCACTTGGTGATTCCATGTTCTGTTCACTCCCTCTGGGGCTCCTGGCATTGGCCGCTACCCGCACGGGACACGGGGCTAGATGGACCTTTGGCCTGATCCAGTCTGATGTTCTTATGTGTACTGCATGAACCAAGCTCATTCAAGTGAGTCCCAAGACAGGCTGGGCCCGATGCTGGTCTCATTGACAGCGGTGTAAATTTGGAGGAACATCTCTGAGGCTATGTCTACACTACAGGCTTCTTGCGCAAGAAGCTTTTTGGGGAAGAGATCTTCCGCCAAAACGTCTTGTGCAAAAGCGCGTCCACACTGCAAACGCACATGGGAAAAGGGATGCGCTTTTGCGCAAGAGAGCGTCCAGACTGCATCGGCGCCAAGCGCCCGGGCCCAGGGCACCAGAAGGGCTTGGGCCGGCCCTGCTGGTAATAAAAACAGAAGAATGGCCAGGCTGGGTCAGACCAAAAGGACATTCACAGAATGGCCACCAGGGCACCTGTGCTTGTTTCGAAAGGCTGGTTTTGCACAAAACCCCCATTTCCCATCCCCCCACATGTTTTTGCACAAGAGCTCTTATGCAAAAAGGAGTTATTCCTCATAGAAAGAGGAATATGTTTTTGCACAAGAGCTCTTGTGCAAAAAGGAGTTATTCCTCATAGAAAGAGGAATACCGACACCGCAAACCGCCCTCTGTTCTGCTGATTCACTGTACATTTTCTTGCGCTAAAACATGCTTGAGGTGTGGATGCTCCACGGGTTCTTGCGCAAAACCCGCCGCTTTTGTGCAAAAACCCTGTAGTGTAGACGTAGCCTGAGTGAGCAGCGTTGTTGCGTATTTACACTAGTATCCCTGAAATCCGACTCTAGCCCCCAGGCCCTGATCACAGCTGTGTGGCTCTGGAGACATGTCTGATGTAGGCTGGAGTCAGTCTGACCAACAGACGTCCCTCTCTTCCTCTCCTTGTGTCCATTTGATCCAATACACCAGTAGCCCTCCATTTATTAAACCTGCCAGCCGGGTGCTCCCTCCCTACTCCTGTATACACACTAGGAATCGGCCATAGATCACCATGCTTTATTGAGATGTGTCCAGACAGCAGAAGGCAATTTTAAAAGCTAATATGATCTTTGAGATTTACAGCTCTACTTTATGAAAAATATAAAAGAGGTTCTTTTTCACCCAGCTGCCCCCCTTCCCTGATCCCCCTGGCGCTCGGTCTACTGATTTAGGGGCGCCAGGTTTGTGGGTCCATTAATCAGAGGGGGAATGGGAAAGCAGAGCGCTTTCACGGAGTGCGTAGTTGCAATGGGCCTTTTCCGCTTTTGCATTGGGGCGTTTCTTGAATCCTACGTGTCCAGCTGGTCTGTTGAATTCATTTAATTGGTTTTTCAAAGCAGACTGCAAAGGGGGTTGGTCAGACCCTCCCCCCGCCAAAAGTGCTGGTTTGTCCAACCTGAATCTTTTTGGGGAAACATGTCCGTGCTGGTGAAATTTTTGCCAGGAGATTTTTTTCAGTCCAAAATGGACAGTGGATTTCTCTTGGACCCATCTCTCTCTGACCAGCCATCCAAGGTTTAGGATATTGATCTCCAGGGTAGGATCCAGCATCCAAAGCCTGCTCTAAATAAGGCAGTGCAAGCAGCTGAACCCCATCTCCTGCATCTAGAAAACATGAGCTATGAGGCAAGGCTGAAGGAAATGGGTTTGTTTAGTTTAGAAAAGAGAAGACTGAGAGGGGACATGATAGTGGTTTTCAGGTATCTAAAAGGGTGTCACAGGGAGGAGGGGAGAAAATTCTTCTCCTTGGCCTCTGAGAATAGGAGAAGAAGCAATGGGCTTAAATTGCAGCAAGGGAGGTTGAGGTTGGACATTAGGAAAAACTTCCTGCCTGTCAGGGTGGTGAAGCACTGGAATAAATTGCCTAGGGGGGTTGTGGAATCTCTGGAGATATTTAAGAGCAGGTTGGACAGACACCTGTCAGGGATGATATAGACCAGGGCTACTCAACATGCAGCCCGCACCCCATTCATTTGCAGCCCTGCTGGGCGGTTTGGGTTTACAGAGAGCTCAACACATGGCCTGCAGGTGGGAGCCAAAATAAAAAAATAGTCAATATAATGGTCTTCTGTTGATCTGCATTTTAGTAGTTAAATTCCTGAGCTGTCATTGCTCATTAAAAGTGCTGCTATATGGGTGGAAATTGGGTAAAATTGCATTTTTTTTTAATATCAGCAGAAAAGACTTAAGTGGGGCCTTAAATTTGTTCCTGCCCCTTGATTAGTTTTGTGGATAATGCCCCTCCCATTCCTGTTGCGAATGGTCACCACCCCACTCTGCCGATCAGAACACAAACACCCAAATGCTTTGGGTTTAGCTGCGCTTCTTTGAATTAAAAATGCAATGCCTTTCATCGGGGGAGAGGGGCGACTCCTTCATGCCAACATAAATGGTGACAATGAGACCCACACGCCTGCCGGGGGTGGGTCACCACCCCGTTGCGTGGCCCGGAGACCACCTACACCCGTAGCTGAGAGCCAGCTGGCTGATAGCACAAGCGGTAGCGACTCACGTTCAAAGCTCCAGGGTGCTCTGGTTGGGTTCTGCCTGTCGACGTTACAGCAACACCTCTTCAGGTTCCATTGGGGATTCAGGGCCATCTGGCCGACTGGTGTGCTCGAGATTTGTTGGAAGAAGGGGTTTCGAGGGAAACTGGTAATCAGGGCCGGATGGAGGCATGGGTGAGCCGGGCAGCTGTGCAGGGCGCCAATTGATGAGGGGCGCCCGATGGCAGCTGTAAAGGGCGCGCGGCATCCCTGACAGCTGCCATCAGGAGCCGTGCGCCTGGCTCCCGCAGCCCCGGCCCCC